ACATATATGTGTCGAGATAGGTGTGTTCTGATTGATGTGTCAGACATATGGTTCAAGATGGATGTGACCACATATATGTGTCGAGATAGGTGTGTTCTGATTGATGTGTCAGACATATGTTTCAAGATGGATGTGACCACATATATGTGTCGAGATATATGTGTTGTGATTGATGTGTCAGACATATGTTTCAAGATGGATGTGACCACATATATGTGTCGAGATAGGTGTGTTCTGATTGATGTGTCAGACATATGTTTCAAGATGGATGTGACCACATATATGTGTCGAGATAGGTGTGTTCTGATTGATGTGTCAGACATATGTTTCAAGATGGATGTGACCACATATATGTGTCGAGATAGGTGTGTTCAGACATATGTTTCAAGATGGATGTGACCACATATATGTGTCGAGATAGGTGTGTTCTGATTGATGTGTCAGACATATGTTTCAAGATGGATGTGACCACATATATGTGTCGAGATAGGTGTGTTCTGATTGATGTGTCAGACATATGTTTCAAGATGGATGTGACCACATATATGTGTCGAGATAGGTGTGTTCTGATTGATGTGTTAGACATATGTTTCAAGATGGATGTGACCACATATATGTGTCGAGATAGGTGTGTTCTGATTGATGTGTTAGACATATGTTTCAAGATGGATGTGACCACATATATGTGTCGAGATAGGTGTGTTCTGATTGATGTGTCAGACATATGGTTCAAGATGGATGTGACCACATATATGTGTCGAGATATATGTGTTGTGATTGATGTGTCAGACATATGTTTCAAGATGGATGTGACCACATATATGTGTCGAGATAGGTGTGTTCTGATTGATGTGTCAGACATATGTTTCAAGATGGATGTGACCACATATATGTGTCGAGATAGGTGTGTTCTGATTGATGTGTCAGACATATGTTTCAAGATGGATGTGACCACATATATGTGTCGAGATAGGTGTGTTCTGATTGATGTGTCAGACATATGTTTCAAGATGGATGTGACCACATATATGTGTCGAGATAGGTGTGTTCTGATTGATGTGTTAGACATATGTTTCAAGATGGATGTGACCACATATATGTGTCGAGATAGGTGTGTTCTGATTGATGTGTCAGACATATGTTCAAAGATGGATGTGACCACATATATGTGTCGAGATAGGTGTGTTCTGATTGATGTGTCAGACATATGTTTCAAGATGGATGTGACCACATATATGTGTCGAGATAGGTGTGTTCTGATTGATGTGTCAGACATATGTTTCAAGATGGATGTGACCACATATATGTGTCGAGATAGGTGTGTTCTGATTGATGTGTCAGACATATGTTTCAAGATGGATGTGACCACATATATGTGTCGAGATATATGTGTTGTGATTGATGTGTCAGACATATGTTTCAAGATGGATGTGACCACATATATGTGTCGAGATAGGTGTGTTCTGATTGATGTGTCAGACATATGTTTCAAGATGGATGTGACCACATATATGTGTCGAGATAGGTGTGTTGTGATTGATGTGTCAGACATATGTTTCAAGATGGATGTGACCACATATATGTGTCGAGATAGGTGTGTTCTGATTGATGTGTTAGACATATGTTTCAAGATGGATGTGACCACATATATGTGTCGAGATAGGTGTGTTCTGATTGATGTGTTAGACATATGTTTCAAGATGGATGTGACCACATATATGTGTCGAGATAGGTGTGTTCTGATTGATGTGTCAGACATATGGTTCAAGATGGATGTGACCACATATATGTGTCGAGATAGGTGTGTTCTGATTGATGTGTCAGACATATGTTTCAAGATGGATGTGACCACATATATGTGTCGAGATAGGTGTGTTCTGATTGATGTGTCAGACATATGTTTCAAGATGGATGTGACCACATATATGTGTCGAGATAGGTGTGTTCTGATTGATGTGTCAGACATATGTTTCAAGATGGATGTGACCACATATATGTGTCGAGATATATGTGTTGTGATTGATGTGTCAGACATATGTTTCAAGATGGATGTGACCACATATATGTGTCGAGATAGGTGTGTTCTGATTGATGTGTCAGACATATGTTTCAAGATGGATGTGACCACATATATGTGTCGAGATAGGTGTGTTGTGATTGATGTGTCAGACATATGTTTCAAGATGGATGTGACCACATATATGTGTCGAGATAGGTGTGTTCTGATTGATGTGTTAGACATATGTTTCAAGATGGATGTGACCACATATATGTGTCGAGATAGGTGTGTTCTGATTGATGTGTTAGACATATGTTTCAAGATGGATGTGACCACATATATGTGTCGAGATAGGTGTGTTCTGATTGATGTGTCAGACATATGGTTCAAGATGGATGTGACCACATATATGTGTCGAGATAGGTGTGTTCTGATTGATGTGTCAGACATATGTTTCAAGATGGATGTGACCACATATATGTGTCGAGATAGGTGTGTTCTGATTGATGTGTCAGACATATGTTTCAAGATGGATGTGACCACATATATGTGTCGAGATAGGTGTGTTCTGATTGATGTGTCAGACATATGGTTCAAGATGGATGTGACCACATATATGTGTCGAGATAGGTGTGTTCTGATTGATGTGTCAGACATATGTTTCAAGATGGATGTGACCACATATATGTGTCGAGATATATGTGTTCTGATTGATGTGTCAGACATATGTTTCAAGATGGATGTGACCACATATATGTGTCGAGATAGGTGTGTTCTGATTGATGTGTCAGACATATGTTTCAAGATGGATGTGACCACATATATGTGTCGAGATAGGTGTGTTCTGATTGATGTGTCAGACATATGTTTCAAGATGGATGTGACCACATATATGTGTCGAGATAGGTGTGTTCTGATTGATGTGTCAGACATATGTTTCAAGATGGATGTGACCACATATATGTGTGCGACATAGTCGAGTGTGTTCTGATTGATGTGTTAGACATATGTTTCAAGATGGATGTGACCACATATATGTGTCGAGATAGGTGTGTTCTGATTGATGTGTTAGACATATGGTTCAAGATGGATGTGACCACATATATGTGTAGAGATAGGTGTGTTCTGATTGATGTATCAGACATATGGTTCAAGATGGATGTGACCACATATATGTGTCGAGATAGGTGTGTTCTGATTGATGTGTCAGACATATGTTTCAAGATGGATGTGACCACATATATGTGTCGAGATAGGTGTGTTCTGATTGATGTGTCAGACATATGTTTCAAGATGGATGTGACCACATATATGTGTCGAGATAGGTGTGTTCTGATTGATGTGTCAGACATATGGTTCAAGATGGATGTGACATAGGTGTGTTCTGATTGATGTGTCAGACATATGGTTCAAGATGGATGTGACCACATATATGTGTCGAGATAGGTGTGTTCTGATTGATGTGTCAGACATATGTTTCAAGATGGATGTGACCACATATATGTGTCGAGATAGGAATGTTCTGATTGATGTGTTAGACATATGGTTCAAGATGGATGTGACCACATATATGTGGCGACATAGGTGTCTTCTGATTGATGTGTCAGATTGTGTCGAAGAAGGTGTGTCAGAAACTTTACTGAAGTTGATCTATCTCCAGACTTGTCTCCTTGCATCACGTGGGTCCTGACATATCACTGTCCACTGTTACTTGCAACTTTCCATTGCAACAGAGCGACCTTAGTAGAAGACAAAGCACATATAATTACAATGTCAGTTCACATTTTCCCTTTTTTGCAGTTTCTGTTTTTATACATGGGTGTGTTTTTCCTTACGGGAAAAGGCGCATGTTCCTTCTCATTGCATGGTGTCCAAGAAAACATGCTTCCGTGTTGCGCAGTGATTTCGTTAAGTCAGTTTACTGGTTTGGCCCTGATTCTAATGTTTGCTTTGCACAACATGACTTTCACCACATGACACATGAAACATGCAGCCACCGGCGTTGTCCACATACATTATGTTAGCGCACTGTGATTTATCGGAAATAATATGTTCAAAGTGGTGCTATATACCAGTCACTCACTCAACTGACGACGCCTAGCTAGCGACAAAACGTGTGTTTAACATCTACAATTTTCCGCGCGTCTGGCTTTCAGTCCTCACTGACACGCCATTTCATAACTGAAATATGTTTCCTAGAGGCATTGAACCGCTCTCATTCAGTCTTACCAGACAGAGGGTTTAATAACTGACAACCAGGGAATTGTCCCTGTATAGTTTACTGCAGCCGAGAGGAAATAGTCAAGGGAGTAAATGTTTGCTTTTGCGTCGTCAATACTGAAACAATTTTTCAAACAAAGTACCTTACGTTTTTCTGTTCTTATCATCTTGTTAGTAGAGGGCTGGCCAGGCCTCAGGTCAAACTATCTTAGCAGATATGACACGCCTGTAAAGTATCAAAGTCCGACTGGTTTGCATAACTCCACCGACGAACAACCACGGCACGAGGAAGCAGCATGGTGTCAAACCTGACGGATAAATCGAGCTTATCTCAGACAGGTCGACCCCTCCACAAAACCGATGACACGGTATATTTTGAGTTGAGTGAGTGAAAAGTGTAACAAAGTGTTTTCGAAATGAAAGTGTGACCTGAACAAACTTATTGGTAGCGCATGACCGAACGTTTTGCTGTCTAGTTGCGATAGGTGCCATGAGCACCCTCCAACCAAAATTTCCACCTCCTATGCCATATTGGAACTTAAACTCCTCACTTTCTCATTTGTTTACAGACAGACACGCCGTTTAAATTGCAGAAAACTAGTGCCTATCTTAAGGACAGTATATCACTTTACATATTTCATATCCTACCGCCACCCTTCCCTCAACTACAACACCCTTATACAGGACGACTTCAACCCCCATAGGACAGCATAAAGAAATAAGCATAACGTCAAATGCCACATGTTGTCATGCGTCATGTTTATAATTTCTGTTACAGAGCCCATTATGGACGTGCAGTGTCGCATCGTATTTTTCTTGGTCATTACGCAAGCTTCGGCCAACGTAAACCAATGTTCGAAACATTGCGTGTGTAGCGAGGCGAAGCGTGTCATGTCCTGCCATGGAGCGGTCCTCACCTATATGCCAAGGGCACCAAGCTACGTCAGCAGGTACGAGCTGAGCAGCGCCGGTATTGATCAGTTGACCAGAGAGCACACGGAAAACCTCACACACTGTGTCCTCAAACACTTGATCCTCAAGAATAACAACATCACCGGTATCGACCCTGATGCATTTGTTGATCTACACTATTTGCAGAAACTGTTTTGGGAGCAGGATTTCTTTCCTCTTTCCCACTTTGAACTGTTGCTTGCACACGTTTCCCGTAACATCAGTGATATTTCGATATCAGCGGTGACCCTTGACAAGTATGTAGCATCTGCCTCCAGCTTTCAAAGCCTTGAGAATCTTCAAGCGTTGAAGCTAAACATGCATCAGTTACAATCCTTCAATGCAACAGGTTTAAGTAAACTGGTCAACTTGACTAGTTTGGATTTAGGTACGAACAGATTGAGCAGGTTCTCAGTCACCGAGTTCGTGCCGAAATTGAAACACTTAAATCTGGGGCAAAATGACCTGACGGAGATTCCTCAACTTTGTTTAAACAAGTCTGTCCCAACAATTCCAAGACTGTCCAGACTTATTCTACAAAACAATGCTATCCGAATTTTGGAAACACGTGGTATATCCTGCTTGAAGAACATGAAGAAGTTGGTACTTTCCCAAAACAGAATCGAGATATTGAACCATAACGTTTTTACCGCATTAACGCAACTGACAGAACTTCAGTTGTCAAGGCTGACGTCGTTACAATACGTAGAGGATTTGGCGTTCAATTCGACATCTTTATCTAAAATACTTTTACCGAGAATCCTAAAATGACAAAGAGGAAATTCAAGCCTGCGTCTTTGTTTTCTGAAACTCCTAACCTTGCAACACTAGATCTCACCAACACTAAGCTAGATATAAGTGTGAAGGAATTGAAGGCGTTACTCCTTACCCTTAAAAATGTTAAACACCTCACGATGCAGAAAACATTTATCAAGGAATTGCCAACAGGAGTTTTTTCAAAATTAACAAAACTGGAAAATGTCACATTTTCAGGAAATATGTTAACAGGATGGAATAAAGACGTATTTGCCAACGTCACTAACATAAAGCACATATTCTTTGACGGATGCAACATAAAGACGATCAATGAAAGCTCTCTACCGTTGGAATTCCGCTTGAGCGTAAAAGAAATTGACTTAGCTAATAACCCCTTCGTGTGTACCTGTGATTTGTTGTGGTTCAAAACATGGCTGGATGAAGTCAGGGCTAATGGGAGCATTACATTTTCCCAGTACCCACACAGATACCAATGCAGAGCACCGAATATCCAAGCTCTCAGTCTTGAGGATTTCCATCCTACAGAAAAATCATGCACAATCACAAATCTGTACACAATCATTCTGACAATCGTATTGTCTGTGAGTCTGGTCATCACTGTAACAATTCTTGTAGTGTATCGGTACCGATGGTACCTCCTGTACTGGATATCACTGTTCAGACGACGGCGACGTCGAAGCAAACGTGAAACAGAAGAGAAGCAATACGACGCCTTTGTATCCTACAGCAACCCCGATGGGGACTGGGTCTATGACGAGCTTCTGGACTTCCTGGAAAGGGAGGTTGGGTTGTGTCTGTGTGAACACAGCAGAGACTTCCAAATAGGGACCTACATTGTCGACAACGTGATGGGAGCCTTGGACAGCAGTAGAAAGACCATTCTGGTAATCTCTAATGAGTACATGAAGAGCGACTGGTGCCAGTTTGAGCTTCAGATGGCTCTGTACTCATTTCTCAAACATGAAATTGACATTGTGGTGATTCTACTTGACCAGATCAAAGCAGATCACGTGACGTCATCACTTCGAGCACTGATGATGTCTACCAGTATCATGCAATGGTGTAGTGATACTGAGGCCAAGGAACTTTTTAAGGAGAGGTTAAGAAACATTATGTGTGAAGGTGACATTATTGGCTCAAGAGACCAGGCAGACCCTAACATGCACACAGATCCTGCAGATGATGAAATCCTGGTACAATGAAAGTATTCCACCCGTGCTTGTGTAACACACCATTGTGTTGTGATGTTAGACTGATACTCCAGACAGCTGTACGTACAATTCAGTGATGGGGACGACGGTGGCAGCAGACAGACACTGCAATTCGCTGTGCAAAGCCGCATCAGCTGTGGACAGTACCTAGAAACCCATTGCAGACAGTATTTAGAAACCCATTGTGGACAGTATCTAGAAACCCATTCTGACATTATCTGAAAATCATTGTGAGTGAACCATCATCAGTAGGACTATAGTTTGGCATGAAATGCATGTGGACCCGGTTTTTTGTAAATATCTCTTCATCCAATGACCCAATCGATCTCAAACTGTGCAAGTGGATGTTTTGTCAGACAACCTAATCACATTGTAAATCACCGATTTTATGCATTTGTATTAAAGAATCTGTCTATGTAACTGTCAACAAAAAAAATAGCAGAACGCAGAATGCTTGCAGAGGGAGGGAGCCAATGACCTGTAACAGCGGCACAATGAAGATATACTTGAGTAAACATCACCACAATATAGATATACTGGAGTAAACATCACCACAATATAGATATACTGGAGTAAACATCAACACAATGTAGTTATACTGGAGTAACCATATCCACAGTGTAGATATACTTGAGTAATCATTACCGAAGTATAGATATACTGGAGTAAACATCCCCACAATGTAGATATACTGGAGTAAACATCACGACAATGTAGATATACTGGAGTAACTATAACACCACAATGTAGATATACTGGAGTAAACATCACAACAATATTGATATACTGGAGTAAACATCACCACAATGTAGGTATACTGCAGTAACCATCACCGAATTATAGACATACTGGTGGAAACATCACAACAATGTATGTATACTGGTTTAAACATCACACCTTAAGGTAAATATACTGGAGTAAATATCACCATAATGTAGATATACTGGAGTAACCATAACCACAATGAAGATATACTGGAGTAAACATCACCACAAAGTAGATATACTAGATTAAACATCACCACAATGTATATATACTGATGTAATCATCACCACAATGTAGATATATTGGAGTAATCATCACCGAAGTAAAGATATACTAGAGTAAACATCACCACAACCATAAATATACTGGAGTAAACATCATTACACTGTAGATATACTGGAGTAACCATCACGACAGAATGTAGATATACTGGAGTAAACATCACCACAATGTAGATATACTGCAGTAAACATCACCACAATATAGATATACTGGAGTAAACATCACCACAATGTAGTTATACTGGAGTAACCATACCCACAGTGTAGATATACTTGAGTAATCATTACCGAAGTAAAGATATACTAGAGTAAACATCCCCACAATGTAGATATACTGGAGTAAACATCACCACAATGTAGATATACTAGGGTAATCATGATTACAATGTGGATGTACTGGACAAACCATCATCACCATGGAGGTATACTGGAGTAAACATCACGACAATGTAGATATACTGGAGTAACTAAAACACCACAATGTAGATATACTGGAGTAAACATCACAACAATATTGATATACTGGAGTAAACATCACCACAATGTAGGTATACTGCAGTAATCATCACCGAAGTATAGACATACTGGTGGAAACATCACCACAATGTATGTATACTGGTTTAAACATCACACCTTAAGGTAAATATACTGGAGTAAATATCACCATAATGTAGATATACTGGAGTAAACATAACCACAATGAAGATATACTGGAGTAAACATCACCACAATGTAGATATACTAGATTAAACATCACCACAATGTATATATACTGGTGTAATCATCACCACAATGTAGATATAACGGAGTAACCATCACCACAATGTAGATATATTGGAGTAATCATCACCGAAGTAAAGATATACTAGAGTAAACATCACAACCACCATAAATATACTGGAGTAAACATCATTACACTGTAGAGATACTGGAGTAACCATCACACCAGAATGTAGATATACTGGAGTAAATCTCACCACAATGTAAATATACTGCAGTAAATATTACCACAATGCAGATATACTGGAGTACCCATCATCACATTATAGATATACTTGAGTAAACATCAAAACAATGGAGATATACTAGAGTAAACATCACCACAATATAGATATACTGGAGTAAACATCACCACGATGTAGATATGCTGCAGTAAACATCATTACAGTGTAGATATACTGGAGTAAACATCACAACAGTGTAGTTATACTGGAGTAACTATCATCACCATGTAGGTATACTGGAGTAAACATCACCACAGTGTAGATATACTGGAGTAAACATCATTACAGTGTAGATATACTGGAGTAAACATCACAACAATGTAGATATACTGGAGTAAACATCACCACAATGTGGATATACTGGAGTAACTATAACACCACAATGTAGATATACTGGAGTAAACATCACAACAATATTGATATACTGGAGTAAACATCACCACAATGTAGGTATGCTGCAGTAACCATCACCGAATTATAGACATACTGGTGGAAACATCACAACAATGTATGTATACTGGTTTAAACATCACACCTTAAGGTAAATATACTGGAGTAAATTTCACCATAATGTAGATATACAGGAGTAACCATCACACTACAATGTGAATATACTGGAGTAAACATCACCACAATGCAGATATACTGGAGTAAACATTACCACAATGTAGATACACTGGAATAAACATCATTACAGTGTAGATATACTGGAGTAAACATCACCACAATGTAGATATACTGGAGTAAACATCATTACACTGTAGATATACTGGAGTAACCATCACACCACAATGTAGTTATACTGGAGTAAACATCATCACAATGTAGATATACTTCAGTAAACATGACCACAATGCAGATATACTGGCGTAAACTTCACCACAATATAGATATACTGGAGTAAACATCACCACAATGTAGATATACTGCAGTAACCATCATTGCAGTGTAGATATACTGGAGTAAACATCATCACAATATAGATATACTTCAGTAAACATCACCACAATGCAGATATACTGGAGTAAACATCACCACAATATAGATATACTGGAGTAAACATCACCACAATGTAGATATACTGCAGTAAACATCATTACAGTGTAGATATACTGCAGTAAACATCACAAGAATGTAGATATACTGGAGTAACCATCATTACACTGTACTGACTGACTGAGTTTAGTTTTACGCCGCTTTTAGCAATATTCCAGCAATATTACGGCGGGCATTACAATGTAGATATACTGGAGTAACTATCACAACACAATGTAGATATACTGGTGTAAACATCATGACAGTGTAGATATACTGGAGTAAACATCACCACAATGTAGATATACTGCAGTAAACATTATTACAGTGTAGATATACTGGAGTAAACATAAGAACAATGAAGATATACTGGAGTAAACATCATTACAATGTAGATATACTGGAGTGATCATCACACCGAATTATAGACATACTGTAGATATACACCACAATGTAGTAACCATCACACTACAATGTAGATATACTGGAGTAAATATCACCACAATGTAGATATCCTACAATGCAGATATACTGGAGTAATACTGCAGTAATCATCACCGAAGTGTAGATATACTGGTGTAATCATCACCACAATGTAGATATAACGGAGTAAACATCCACACAATGTATATATACTGCAGTAAACATCATTACAGTGTAGATATACTGGAGTAAACATCACAACAATGTAGTATACTGGAGTATCATTACAGTGTAGATATACTGGAGTAAACATCACAAGAATGTAGATATACTGGAGTAACCATCATCACCATGAAGGGGAAAATGGAGTAAACATCACCACAATGTGGATATACTGGAGTAAACATCATTACAGTGTAGATATACTGGAGTAAACATCACAACAATGTAGATATACTGGAGTAAACATCAACACAATGTGGATATACTGGAGTAACTATAACACCACAATGTAGTTAAAAGTGGAGTAAACATCACAACAATATTGATATACTGGAGTAAACATCACCACAATGTAGGTATACTCTAGTGATCATCACCGAATTATAGACATACTGGTGGAAACATCACCACAATGTATGTATACTGGTTTAAACATCACACCTTAAGGTATATATACTGGAGTAAATATCACCACAATGTAGATATCCTAGATTAAACACCACCACAGTGTATACTGTATATATATACTGCAGTAATCATCACCGAAGTGTAGATATACTGGTGTAATCATCACCACAATGTAGATATAACGGAGTAACCATCCACACAATGTATATATACTGCAGTAAACATCATTACAGTGTAGATATACTGGAGTAAACATCACAATAATGTAGATATACTGGAGTAACCATCATTACACTGTAGATATAGTGGAGTAAACATCACCACAATGTGGATATGCTGTAGTAAACATCATTACAGTGTAGATATACTGGAGTAAACATCACCACAAAGTAGATATACTTGAGTAAACATCGTAACAGTGTAGATATACTGGAGTAAACATCACCACAATGTGGATATACTGCAGTAAACATCATTACAGTGAAGATATACTGGAGTAAACATAACAACAATGAAGGTATACTGGAGTAAACATCATTACACTGTAGATATACTGGAGTAACCATCACACCACAATGAAGATATACTGCAGTAACCATCATTACAGTGTAGATATACTGGAGTAAACATCACCACAATGTAGATATACTGGAGTAAACATCGTTACAGTGTAGATATACTGGAGTAACCATCACACCACAATGAAGATATACTGGAGTAAACATCACCGCAATGTAGATATGCTGCAGTAAACATCACCACAATGCAGATATACTGGAGTAACAATCACCACAATATAGATATACTGGAGTAAACATCGTTACAGTGTAGATATACTGGAGTAAACATACTAGAGTAAACATCACCACAATGTAGATATACTGGAGTAAACATCACCATAATGCAGACATGCTGGAGTAAACATCACCACAATATAGATATACTGGAGTAAACATCACCACAATGTATATATACTGGAGTAAACATCGTTACAGTGTAGATATACTGGAGTAAACATCACCACAATGTAGATATACTGGAGTAAACATCACCATAATGCAGACATCTGGAGTAAACATCACCACAATATAGATATACTGGAGTAAACATCACCACAATGTATATATACTGGAGTAAACATCACACCACAGTGTAGATATACTGGAGTAAACATCACCGCAATGTATATATACTGCAGTAAACATCATTACAGTGTAGATATACTGGAGTAAACATCATTGCAGTGTTGATATACTGGAGTAAACATCACAAGAATGTAGATATACTTGAGTAAACATCACCACAATGTAGATATACTGGAGTAAACATCACCACAATATAGATATACTGGAGTAAACATCACCACAATATAGATATACTGGGGTAAACGTCATCACAATGTCTGACTGACTGACTGAGTTTAGTTTTACGCCACTTTTAGCAATATTACAGCAATATCACGGCGGGGGACACCAGAAATGGGCTTAACACATTGTGTATCACGATTGATATACTAGAGTAAACATCATTACAGTGTAGATATACTAGAGTAAATATCACAAAAATGGAGATATTCTGGAGTAACCATCATTACACTGTAGATATAGTGGAGTAAACATCACCACAATGTGGATATGCTGTAGTAAACATCATTACAGTGTAGATATACTGGAGTAAACATCACCACAAAGTAGATATACTTGAGTAAACATCGTAACAGTGTAGATATACTGGAGTAAACATCACCACAATGTGGATATACTGCAGTAAACATCATTACAGTGAAGATATACTGGAGTAAACATAACAACAATGAAGGTATACTGGAGTAAACATCATTACACTGTAGATATACTGGAGTAACCATCACACCACAATGAAGATATACTGCAGTAAACATCATTACAGTGTAGATATACTGGAGTAAACATCACCACAATGTAGATATACTGGAGTAAACATCGTTACAGTGTAGATATACTGGAGTAACCATCACACCACAATGAAGATATACTGGAGTAAACATCACCGCAATGTAGATATGCTGCAGTAAACATCACCACAATGCAGATATACTGGAGTAACAATCACCACAATATAGATATACTGGAGTAAACATCGTTACAGTGTAGATATACTAGAGTAAACATCACCACAATGTAGATATACTGGAGTAGACACCACCATAATGCAGACATGCTGGAGTAAACATCACCACAATATAGATATACTGGAGTAAACATCACCACAATGTATATATACTGGAGTAAACATCGTTACAGTGTAGATATACTGGAGTAAACATCACCACAATGTAGATATAGTGGAGTAAACATCACCATAATGCAGACATCTGGAGTAAACATCACCACAATATAGATATACTGGAGTAAACATCACCACAATGTATATATACTGGAGTAAACATCGTTACAGTGTAGATATACTGGAGTAAACATCTCCGCAATGTATATATACTGCAGTAAACATCATTACAGTGTAGATATACTGGAGTAAACATCATTGCAGTGTTGATATACTGGAGTAAACATCACAAGAATGTAGATATACTTGAGTAAACATCACCACAATGTAGATATACTGGAGTAAACATCACCACAATATAGATATACTGGAGTAAACATCACCACAATATAGATATACTGGGGTAAACGTCATCACAATGTCTGACTGACTGACTGAGTTTAGTTTTACGCCACTTTTAGCAATATTACAGCAATATCACGGCGGGGGACACCAGAAATGGGCTTAACACATTGTGTATCACGATTGATATACTAGAGTAAACATCATTACAGTGTAGATATACTAGAGTAAATATCACAAAAATGGAGATATTCTGGAGTAAACATCATTACAGTGTTGATATACTGGAGTAAACATCACAACAATGTAGATATACTGGAGTAAACATCATCACAATGTAGATATACTGGAGTAAACATCACCACAATGTAGATATACTGGAGTAAACGTCACCATAATGTAGATATACTGGAGTAAACATCATCACAATTCAGATATTCTGGAGTTAACATCACAACAATGATGATATACTGGAGTAAAGATCACAACCATGTAAATGTACTAGAGTAAACATCACAACAATGAAGATATACTGGAATTGCCCTGATTCGCTATATATAATGCTTGAAACATTCCCCAACGGCGGTAAACAATTGTGTCTGTTTCGATCTCTAAATTTACCACTGTTATATTTCTCGATTTGTAAGAACCATACTCTGCACCGAGGTGATGACGTAAACAATGATCTGCACGTGTATTTCACCGAGGTGATGACGTAAACAATGATCTGCACGTGTATTTCACCGAGTTGATGACGTAAACAATGATCTGCACGTGCATTTCTCCAAGGTGACACGCAGAGACATAACTGAATCAGCGCTGACAAGCTTGTTACAACAAACGTATTTTCTGCTGGGAAGGCCTGTTCCCAGGAATGTAGGTGATGCTCCACCTGTGTGCACGTTATCCATGAATCGTATATATTCACTTATTTTCATAACACATGATCGGGCAGTCAAAAGAAACAAACATGAGAGTTTCGACAGTACAGCCCATTAGAACAGTGTCACATATTTCCCCCTTCTTCACGTCTGGCTCAGTACACTGACGCAATGATTACTTTATATTGACATAATTACTAAATTATATCCTGACAGAGGAAAGTATAACTCCCTCAGGTACTTTAATCATACGTGTAGTTTTCATTTCGAAACATCGTAAGTTATCTTTTATATGGCGATTAGTCAGCACTTGTAAATGCTATTACATAATTTTAGTTTTAAAGATATAATTAGATCTGAAACTTGCGAAAAATTACACAAAACTCGCATAATTCTTTCTTGTGCACAAATTTCAAACATGGTATGGGTCATGTGGTTCAGATTTTTTAACTGAATAAAACAAAAACAAATCTCTGTTTGCCTTTTTTACCGCCAAGTTTATTAAAGAGAACGGAAAATCACACGCACACACACGCACACACGCACACACGCACGCATCACGATGTGTACATAACTCAATCGGTTAAACCCTCCGGCTACCGCACAGCGGTGTAACATAGGCCATTCTTTCAACATCAAGTCAGGGTCCATTTTGAAGTCCATGTTTAATTACTCTGAAATACCAAGCGTGACATTTCCCATGTGCGTATGGACACCTGTTTCTATATCTTTCCTCATTTAAAGTCCTCGTCTTTTGTACTATAGTTTTAAAGTAATTTATAGTTTCAACATACTGAATTGTGTTTAGTTCATATCAGGATATTGCTGATGAAACAAAACCACCACGTCCTCCGGTCCAATCTCAGCTCTATTGTTGTAGGAAAATCACCATCAGCTAGCTGCTTTCAAGCCATATGTTCATAGTAAATGTCCCTATTGTTATCTTACTAATACGTAATTGTATAGGATTTTTCCAAATAAATGAGGCCCTATTTGTGCATTTATTTGTCTATTGACGTCCAAATCACTTAAGTGAACTTATCGACTAGCATCTACCTTCGAGCGGAAGACATCTTATCTTCACGATAATGATATACTGGGGTCGGGCTGAAATCGCTTGTAGCTATAGCTACTGTATAAAGGGGCTTTGAATTAGGACCATTCCACTTGGCAAGGTGTGATCAGTACCATAATGCACGCCTTCATCATACAGGTTCTTTCGCTCACGCTCTTCACTGCACTAGCGGGTGAGTGTTTCATTGGTATATTTTATGCAGAGATTAACAATTAAACAAAAGGTTTAAGCAGAGTTTAGAAGTACAAGCGAGGAAACGTGCACAGTGATTAGAAACTGAATATGTGGTTTCTAAAATGTAGTCAAAAGAGAAGCTGACAAGCGACTATATTTAAGTAATATCAATTTCAATATTTTTCTTGCCTGATGTTTACATGGTGCGCTCATCTTCCATGAAATATTTGAACAAATATCACATATAAAGCGATACATCTAACATGTGAGGCCTACTTAATCGTAATGCATATCAAAATATAATTCATTAAAAAACGTGTCTGCACAGAGGGAGGCGGGAGCAGGTCGCCATGCGCTCATCTCACCCGGTCATCGAACAGCAGGAAGTACATGGAGTCCGTCAACAGAAACAAGTTAGTTGTACACAAAGATTAAAACCCGTAAATCCTAGACAACACCTCGAGTGCCGATCTTGTCCATTATAACATCACGGACATAGAGACCGTATCACGTGCCCATGATCTGGTCCATTATGTGATCACGGATATAGAGACTGTACCACGTGCCCCTGACCTTGTTCATTACGAGATCACGGTTACAGAGACAGTGCCACGTGCCCCTGATCTTGTTCACCATCAGATCACGGATAGTGAGGATGCACCACGTGCCCCTGATCTTGTTCACTATGAGATCACGGATACAGAGACAGTGCCACGTGCCCCTGATCGTGTTCATTATGAGACCACGGATATAGAGACGGTAACACGTGCCCCTGACCTTGTTCATTACGAGATCACGGACTCATCTTTTTACCAAAGCTTACCTTTAGCTCCAGCGTGGACTCAGAGCGCCTTTTGGCGATTACATCGGATTCTGGCGCTATGTATGTATGTATGTATGTATGTATGTATGTATGTATGTATGTATGTATGTATGTATGTATGTATGTATGTATGTATGTATGTATGTATGTTATGTTATGTTATGTTATGTTATGTTATGTTATGTTATGTTATGTTATGGTATGGTATGGTATGGTATGGTATGGTATGGTATGGTATGGTATGGTATGGTATGGTATGGTATGGTATGGTATGGTATGGTATGGTATGGTATGGTATGGTATGGTATGGTATGGTATGGTATGGTATGGTATGGTATGGTATGGTATGGTATGGTATGGTATGGTATGGTATGGTATGGTATGGTATGGTATGGTATGGTATGGTATGGTATGGTATGGTATGGTATGGTATGGTATGGTATGGTATGTATGTATGTATGTATGTATGTATGTATGTTATGTATGTATGTATGTATGTATGTATGTATGGATGCATGCATGCATGCATGCATGCATGCATGTATGCATGCATGTATGTATGTAAAAGGGGCCCCTGATCTTGTTCATTATGAGATCACGGACATAGAGACTGTACCACTTGCCCCTGATCTTGTTCATTATGAGACCACGGATATAGAGACTGTACCACGTGCCCCTGATCTTGATCACTATGAGATCACGGATATAGAGACTGTACCACGTGCCCCTGATCTTGTTCATTATGAGATCACGGATATAGAGACGGTACCACGTGCCCCTGATCTTGTTCATTATGAGATCACGGATATAGAGACGGTACCACGTGCCCTGATCTTGTTCATTATGAGATCACGGACATAGATGCTGTACCACGTGCCCCTGATCTTGTTCATTATGAGATCACGGATATAGAGACGGTACCACGTGCCCCTGATCTTGATCACAATGAGATCACGGATATAGAGACTGTACCACGTGCCCCTGATCTTGTTCATTATGAGATCACGGATATAGAGACAGTGCCACGTGCCCCTGATCTTGTTCATTACGAGATCACGGATATAGAGACTGTACCACGTGCCCCTGATCTTGTTCATTATGAGATCACGGATATAGAGACTGTACCACGTGCCCAGCATCTTGTTCATTACGAAAAAAAGGATATACAGATAGTGCCAAGTGCTCCTGATCTTCTTCATTTTGAGATCAAGGATATAGAGAGAGCGCCGCGTGACCCTGATCTTGTTGACTATGAGATCACGGACATAGAGAGACTGTACCACGTGCCCCTGATCTTGTTCACCATGAGATCACGGACATAGAGAGACTGTACCACGTGCCCCTGATCTTGTTCACCATGAGATCACGGACATAGATGCTGTACCACGTGCCCCCTGATCTTGTTCACCATGAGATCACGGACATAGATGCTGTACCACGTGCCCCTGATCTTGTTCACCATGAGATCACGGACATAGATACTGTACCACGTGCCCCTGATCTTGTTCATCATGAGATCCCGGATATAGATGCTGTACCACGTGCCCCCTGATCTTGTTCATTATGAGATCCCGGATATAGATGCTGTACCACGTGCCCCTTATCTTCTTCATTACGAGATCACGGATATAGATACTATACCACGTGCCCCTGATCTTCTTTTATTGTGAGATCCCGGATATAGATGCTGTACCACGTGCCCCTGATCTTGTTCATTATGAGATCACGGACATAGAGACTGTACCACGTGCCCGTGATCTTGTTCACTATGTGATCACGGATATAGATACTATAGCATGTGCCCCTGATCTTCTTTTATTGTGAGATCCCGGATATAGATACTGTACCACGTGTCCCCTGATCTTGTTCATTATGAGATCACGGGTATAGAGACAGTGCCACGTGTCCCTGATCTTGTTCATTATGAGATCACGGATAAAGAGTCTGTACCACGTGCCCCTGATCTTGCTCATTATGAAATCACGGATATAGAGACAGTGCCACGTGCCCCTGATCTTGTTCATTATGAGATCACGGATATAGAGACTGTATCACGTGCCCTTGATCTTATTCACTATGAGATCAGGGACATAGAGAAGATTAGTTTTAGACTTATTGAATATGTGTCGGATTATGATCGATATTCATATGATGGGCTATATGAACCATCACACGCTGTGTTTCCATGGCAGGCGGGCATCCTCCTGTGAAGAATCTCGGGCCTACCGGACACCTGATGGGAGCTGCAACAATGTGAACAATGCTATGTGGGGAGCGGCCGGAGCCCCCCTCAGACGGACTCTCACCCCCGTGTATTCTGACGGTAAGCCCGGACTGACACAAGGGGTAGAATAGATAATTAGATTGAGACAAAAGTTCCAATGGAATACACAATTTGCAAAAAATAATGGTATAAAAATCAATAAAAATTGTCTATATTTAGCGCCGCAATATAGGTTCCGTATCAGACTTTCACGTGATTAACATTATGAGCAAAGGGTCCTACAGACACACTTTCAAGGCCCAGATATAGCAACAAGTTGATATTCAGATGTCCAGTTCTTGACAGGTGTTATGGGATGCTGGAACAACATGTGACCACCTACCAGTATTCTGAACAGAGGCACAGCCTATTATCCCCAGTATCTGTTCATGTCAATATGTGTCTGACTCTCCGCTCATCTTTAGTACACATGTGTCCACGTGAGGCAGAATGTATGCTTATGGAAGAAGTTATTTGAAAAGTTATAAAATTAATCCTAGATAAACATGTAGAAAAGCACTTTGCTTGAAATTTGGTGTCACGTATCGTCCATGCGTGAGGTCACGTCAGCACGTCACCCATCTAAAGAATCGATTCCAGATTACCAGTTTGACTGCTTGGACCATTCCTGGTTTACGTCCAATTAGTTCCAGACCTGTACGGAAGCGATTGAGGGAGCACAACATCCGGCCCCGACGGCCTACAATACTTCCAATTTCGTTCCAACGTCGACCGCCTCCGTGGTGTAGTGGTTAGAGCGTCCGCCCGGAAAGCGGAAGGTTGCGGGTTCGAACCCCCACCGCGTCAAACCAAAAGACGTAAAATATGGTACTTGTTGGTCCCCCCTGCCTGGCGCTCGGCATTAATGGGTACAACAAGGACTGGTCGGCTCGGAGTCAGTATAATGTGTCTGAGTGGGGTATTCATGCTTCACTGCGGCATGGTTTCTCATTGGGCTAGCACTATAAAACCAGCTTCAGTCTGGGCTAGTACAAGCTGCCGCACATACACATACACACGCATGCACGTCGTCATATGAGCGAAATATTCTCCAGCGTGACGTAAAACCCAATTTCACCTCACCTCACCGTTCCAGCGTCACCGACAGGCACGTCTTGCCTGATGCAGACGGCATCTGCGGTACAGGAGACAAGTTTGGGATGGTGTTTGGTTCATTGACGAGACGAGTGTTCATCTGGATAGCTCAGATAACCGGACCAGAGTGTAAAAACGGCGAGGGCAGAGACAGTTTGGCGGCGAGGCGTTATGGTATGGGAGAACCTCACATCTCCTGGTCGGACACTTGTCATTGTCAGTGGTAATCTAACAGGTCTCCGATACAGGAATGTGATCATTGGGCCTCGTGTGCATGCAGCGGTTCATTCAAGGACAGAGAAGAAACTTGACGCTTCAGCAAGATAATGCCCGTCTACAGCAGAACATTCCAGTACTCCCCTGGCTTACTGTTTCTCCGGAACTGTTCCCTATCGAGCACGCTTGGGATGAAATGGAACAATGTTTCGTCAAACCAAGAATCAGCCATTGACGTTAGCTGAAGTTGGACAAACGTTGGTTCAGCCATGCCACAACATTTATCAAGCTTTCTTCAATCGCTTAATGTCGTCTGTGCGTCGTCATTGTCAAGCTTACATCAACGCCAATGGTGGACACACACGATACTGAATTTGCGAACTGACATTCGACACTTCATCTCTTCAACGGTGTGTCATGATGCTTAGTGCCAAACCATACAGATTTCGATATTATCCTGCCAACAGTTAAACAGTGATTATGGTAAACACCAGAAAGCGCGTTAATATATTTTTGTATTAAAGAATATTTCAGTTATTTTATTCCAGTAGTTTATGAACCCTTATACTTGCAGGTGTAGGGACTCCTCGGACCCTCGCTGTCAGTGGTTCTCCTCTGCCCCATCCCAGGGCAATCAGTAATCACGTTCACTTCGAGAAGAGCTTTCTCTCCAACAAAAACACCATCATGCTGATGCAATGGGGCCAGTTCATTGATCATGACATAACAGGAACTCCAGTGATGACAGGTTAGTACACTGATGCCTTAGTGAAAACATATCTTGTTAGTGAGTGAGTGAGTTTAGGTGATGACAGGTTAGTACACTCCTGTACTAACCTGTCAGCTGTACACTGATGACAGATTACATTGTCTGACATAACAGGAACTCCAGTGATGACAGGTTAGTACACTGATGACAGATTACATTGTCCGACATAACAGGAACTCCAGTGATGACAGGTTAGTACACTGATGACAGATTACATTGTCCGACATAACAGGAACTCCAGTGATGACAGGTTAGTACACTGATGACAGATTACATTGTCTGACATAACAGGAACTCCAGTGATGACAGGTTAGTACACTGATGACAGATTACATTGTCCGACATAACAGGAACTCCAGTGATGACAGGTTAGTACACTGATGACATATTAAAAATTTCTGACATAACAGGAACTCCAGTGATGACAGGTTTGTACACTGATGACAGATTACATTGTCGGGCATAACAGAAACTCCAGTGATGACAGGTTAGTACACCGATGACAGATTACATTGTCTGACTTAACAGGATCTCCAGTGATGACAGGTTAGTACACTGATGACAGATTACATTGTCTGACATAACAGGATCTCCAGTGATGACAGGTTAGTACACTGATGACAGATTATATTGTCCGACGTAACAGGAGCTCCAGTGATGACAGGTTAGTACACTGATGACAGATTACATTGTCTGACATACCAGGAACTCCAGTGATGACAGGTTAGTACACTGATGACAGATTACATTGTCCGACATAACAGGAACCCCAGTGATGACAGGTTAGTACACTGATGACAGATTACATTGTCTGACGTAAGAGGAACTCCAGTGATGACAGGTTAGTACACTGATGACAGATTACATTGTCCGACATAACAGGAACTCCAGTGATGACAGGTTAGGACACTGATGACAGATTACATTGTCCGACATAACAGGAACTCCAGTGATGACAGGTTAGTACACTGATGACAGATTACATTGTCTGACATAACAGGAACTCCAGTGATGACAGGTTAGTACACTGATGACAGATTACATTGTCTGACATAACAGGGACTCCAGTGATGACAGGTTAGTACACTGATGACAGATTACATTATCTGACGTAAGAGGAACTCCAGTGATGACAGGTTTGTACACTGATGACAGATTACATTGTCCGACATAACAGGAACTCCAGTGATGACAGGTTAGGACACTGATGACAGATTACATTGTCCGACATAACAGGAACTCCAGTGATGACAGGTTAGTACACCGATGACAGATTACATTGTCCGACATAACAGGAACTCCAGTGATGACAGGTTAGTACACTGATGACAGATTACATTGTCCGACATAACAGGAACTCCAGTGATGACAGGTTGGAACATTGGTGAACAGATCACATTGTCTGTATATTAATGACATTTAAATATGAAGAACCTAATTCCTAACATAATTACCACATTGTGCTTTAGGCAATCAGATATTTTTATTCAGATGACAGGCGGATGAACACAAACCAGTCTTGACATTTCTGCATCCCAAATGGCATTTTATCTAGTGACGTTTACGGGTGACTTGAAAGTCAAAATATGTCGGGAGAGGAACGAAAGAAAATGAACGTTTACTGTGATTAGAATCTCACTACACTTATGCTAAACGGCATGCATGAAAACAATGTGTTTTGTGGCAGATGACAAAGAGGATATCGACTGCTGCACATGGCCTGATTCAGTTCAAAGCAAGTAAGTCACGATTTGAATCTTCATGTTCACTTTATTTTGTAGAGGAAATAAACTCAACTTAGCGCCTGATTAGATAGTTATACGAGTTATACGTTGGGGCACACTTCGTCACTAGTGCCTGATTAATATCAAATTTGAATGCGTAAAACAGACGCTGTTCTGCCACAACGAAAATGTATCAACCGGCGGGATACCGATGTGCAAATTCAATAAGGCCGACGCCATGTCTGCCTGTTCATGTGTTTGATTATCCGCAACGTATCTAAACTTACGCCTTGTTACTAACAACATCAAAGTTGCCTTCCGCTGCCGATACGGGTTAATCCCTTACGACATTCAATATCCATTATTGGTGTCTATGGTGCTAGAACCATTATTATTATTATTATTAAGATCAGTGATTGTAGCAATAAAGATACTGCTAGTAATATTCACCTCTCAGCAACAGCAATAACTGGAAGAAGGGCTAGGCAGGGTATGATCATCACAAACAATAACTGGAAGAAGGGCTAGGCAGGGTATGATCATCACAAACAATGCTGGTTTTTCTGATGAGATATAACATGAGATGAGAGGCAATAGTATGCTCCCCCTTACATACCAACCAGCCCCTTATATACAAAAGAAAAAACCTAGAAAATTCTACAAAATTGTTAGCGTCACTGGAGATGCCTATAAGGTTGTCTAACTGTAGCAGATCACTGCCCCTCGTTCTACAGTTACAATATACAACAGTGAAACGGTATTGCACATGTAGAAGACTTTCCTCAGAACAATATTTGCATAGCGGCTAAGGATGAGAAGTCATATAGAAACACAGCCAAATAGTGTACATATTAGCCAATGAAAATGCATGGCCGCGTCGGTAACTTCAGGCGACGGTCCCAGATTGGTTTGTGGTGGAACTGATATTGGTGCTAAATGATATTGGCATTAATATCGTAGGCAGTGTTTAACTGCACATGTCCTTTCACCCCCTAATACACAGAACTAAGGTAACCTAAGTTTCGTCTAATTCCCAGCAAAGACTCTCCGTGTAACCCTATTCATATCCCGGCGGGTGATCCTTACTTCCCGGACGGGAAGTGCATGAACTCAGTGAGATCAGAGGCAGTCTCGGGGACGGGCACAGACTCTTCCAGTAAGTGTATCTCCTCATCTCTGCCAGTCTGGGATGTAAGTCTTGACGTTGTGCAGAATCCCCATGGTCAACTGTCATTCGAGCTGATACAGCCGAGAGTTACGGCATGTTTGTAAAGCAATACCAAGAAGACCTTATTCATTTGCATATTTATCTATAAATGACCTCAACGGATATCGTCTATTATCCCGGTGACTTCAAGCTGACAAGGCTATTCCTTGCATGATAAACAAGCTGACAAGGCTATTTCTTGCATAATAAAACAAACTGACAAGGCTATCTCTTGCATGATAAACAAGCTGACAAGGCTATTCTTTGCATGATAAACAAGCTCACAATAATCTTTCTTACACGATAAACAAGCTGACAAGGCTATTCCTTGCATGATAAATAAGCTCATAAGGCTATTTCTTGCATGATAAACAAACTGACAAGGCTATCCCTTGCATGATAAACAAGCTCATGAGGCTATTCCTTGCATGATAAACAAGCTCACAAGGCTATTCCTTGCATGATAAACAAGCTCACAAGGCTATTCCTTGCATGATAAACAAGCTCACAAGGCTTTGTTTTGCATAATAAAACAAACTGACAAGACTATCCCTTGCATGATAAACAAGCTCACAAGGCTATTCTTTGCATGATAAACAAGCTCAGAATAATCTTTCTTGCATGATAAACAAACTGACAAGGCTATTCCTTGCATGATAAATAAGCTCATAAGGCTATTTCTTGCATGATAAACAAACTGACAAGGCTATCCCTTGCATGATAAACAAGCTCATGAGGCTATTCCTTGCATGATAAACAAGCTCACAAGGCTATTCCTTGCATGATAAACAAGCTCACAAAGGCATATAAAACAAGCTCACAAGGCTATTCTTTGCATGATAAACAAGCTCACAAGGCTTTGTTTTGCATAATAAAACAAACTGACAAGACTATCCCTTGCATGATAATCAAGCTCATGAGGCAATTCCTTGCATGATAAACAAGCTCACAATAATCTCTTTTACACGATAAAGAAGCTGATAAGGTTATTCCTTGCATAATAAACAAGCTCACAAGACTCTTTCTTACACGATAAACACGCTGATAAAGCTATTTTGTGCATGATAAACAAGCTGATAAGGCTATTCCTTGCATGATAAACAAGCTGATAAGGCTATTCCTTACATGATAAACATGCTCACAATAATCTTTCTTACACGATAAGCAAGCTGATAGCCCTATTCCTTGCCTGATTAACAAGCTGATAAGGCTATTCCTTACATGATAAACAAGCTCACAACACTCTTTCTTACACGAAAAACAAACTGATAAGGCTATTCCTTGCATGATAGGGCTATTCCTTGTATGATAAGCAAGCTGACAATACTCTTTCTTACACGATAAACAAGCTGATAAGGCTATACCTAACATAACAAACGAGCTGATAAGCTTATTCCTTGCATGACAAAGCATGAGTGGGACCTGGTACATTGTGTCATGAGTATTGATAGCATACATGGAGCTTTCAGTGAGAAATTGGTTCAATGTTGTCAATCTTCCTTCCAAACTACACATGCATGATGCAAGTATTTCTGTAACATTGTCTTCATTCAGATCCAAGACAGCAATACAACGAACTGTCTGCCTTCATTGATGGCTCCCAAATCTATGGCATTTCCACGACTGAGACAGATGATCTCCGAGATAAAACATCAGGAGGTGCGTGTAAACACATGTTTACTAAAGATCATCCATTTTTACATAATATCACCAAGAGCATCAAAAATCTTACCTGAATGCAATCGCTGTGACATCGTGTCCGTGTCCGTCCTGCGTCACTACTGGAATACCCCAAGCTGCTTAAAGTCCTTGTCCGTCCTGCGTCACTTCAGGAATTCCCTAAAGTGGTCAAGGTCCTTGTCCGTCCTGCGTCACTTCAGGAATTCCCTAAAGTGGTCAAGGTCGGTGTCCGTCCTGCGTCACTTCAGGAATTACCTAAAGTGGTCAAGGTCGGTGTCTGTCCTGCGTCACTTCAGGAATTACCTAAAGTTGTCATGATCGGTGTCCGTCCTGCGTCACTTCAGGAATTCCCTAAAGTGGTCAAGGTCGGTGTCCGTCCTGCGTCACTTCAGGAATTCCCTAAAGTGGTCAAGGTCGGTGTCCGTCCTGCGTCACTTCAGGAATTACCTAAAGTGGTCAATGTCGGTGTCCGTCCTTAAATACGTCACTTCAGAAATTCCCTAAAGTGGTCAAGGTCGGTGTCCGCCCTCAAGGCCACTTCAGGAATTCCCCAAAGTGGTCATGGTCGGTGTCCGTCCTGCATCATTTCAGGAATTCCCTAAAGTGGTCATGGTTGGTGTCCGTCCTGCGTCCTATTTCAGGTATTCACTAAAGTGGTCAAGGTAGGTGTCTGTCCTGCGTCACTTGAGGAATTCCCCAAAGTGGTCAATGTCTGTGTCCGTCCTGCGTCACTTCAGGAATTCCCTAAAGTTGTCAGGGTCGGTGTCCGTCCTGTGTCACTTCAGGAATTCCCCAAAAGTGGTCAAGGTCGGTGTCCGTCCTGCGTCACTTCAGGAATTCCATCAAGTGCTTTAATTCCGTGTCTGTCAAGCATCACTTCAGGAATTCCCCAAAGTGGTCAAGGTCGGTGTCCAACCTGAGTCACTTCAGGTATTCACTAGAGTGGTTCAATACCGTGTCCGTCCTGCGTCACTTCAGGAATTCCCTAAAGTGGTCAAGATCGGTGTCCGCCCTGCATCACTTCAGGAATTCCCTAAAGTGGTCAGGGTCGGTGTCCGTCCTGTGTCACTTCAGGAATTCCCTAAAGTGGTCAAGATCGGAGTCCGCCCTGCATCACTTCAGGAATTCCCCAAAGTGGTCAAGGTCTGTGTCCGTCCTGCGTCACTTCAGGAATTCCCTAAAGTTGTCAGGGTCGGTGTCCGTCCTCTGCGTCACTTCAGGAATTCCCCAAAAGTGGTCAAGGTCGGTGTCCGTCCTGCGTCACTTCAGGAATTCCATAAAGTGCTTTAATTCCGTGTTCGTCCTGTGTCACTTCAGGAATTCCATAAAGTGGTCAAGGTCGGTGTCCGCCCTGCATCACTTCAGGAATTCCCCAAAGTGGTCAAGGTCTGTGTCTGTCCTGCGTCACTTCAGGAATTTCCCAAAGTGGTCATGGTTTGTGTCCGTCCTGCGTCACTTCAGGAATTCCCTAAAGTGGTCAAGGTCGATGTCCGCCCTGCGTCAGTTCTGGAATACCCCAAACTGGTCAAGGTCGTTGTCCGTCCTGCGTCACTTGAGGAATTCCCAAAGTTGTCAAGGTCGGTCCGTCCTGCGTCACTTGAGGAATTCCCCAAAGTTGTCAAGGTCGGTGTCCGCCCTGCGTCAGTTCTGGAATACCCCAAACTGGTCAAGGTCGTTGTCCGTCCTGCGTCACTTGAGGAATTCCCAAAGTTGTCAAGGTCGGTCCGTCCTGCGTCACTTGAGGAATTCCCCAAAGTTGTCAAGGTCGGTCCGTCCTGCGTCACTTCAGGAATTCCCCAAAGTGGTGCTGGTTGGTGTCCGTCCTGCGTCACTTCAGGAACTCCCCAAAGTGGTTAAAGTCCGTGTCTATCGTGCATCACCTCTGGATTACCCACCGTGCCTAGACGCTGCCGCACAGTGATATAACTTGAAGTTCTGTAATACCAACTCCCAAAATGATGTCCGATGGAGTTCCCTATTTTCTCGTGTTTGTTTAGCCAATATTTGTTTGTATTTGCGTATTTTCCTGGCAGGTGCCACTGATGGAGCAGGATATGATGATCTCCGAGCGTGGATTAATCGCTACTTGATAGTGATTCTTACACATTCATTATCAAAACGAAATCGTAAAACAGACTATACTTTCAATAGGGATTACGTATGATTTTGGAACCGATTTTTATTATTTTTTCACGTTTTGTCTTTCAGCCGGCTTGATGGAAGTAAGCGCTGGGAATCTCCTACCAAAGGGAAGTGACTCAGACTGTTTCCTTGACAGTTCTGATTCAAACAACTTCTGTTTTAAAGCAGGTACGTGCAGACTCAGAAAAACAGTTCAATAGTCACTTGTCCTCCTTTCACGCTGTTTAACGCCAGACCAGCGATCTTTGACGGAACCAAGTCTCTGTCCCGACAACCCGATCTATTAGTTCCTTGCATAGGGAATATAATTCTACTCCCGAATCCTCACCGTCTATAAGGTCATGATTTCCAAATGAACATGTGTCACTGAGGCCAAAGCAAACTCACTTGCATCAGAGATCAGCTGACCGTTGGCAGGCACTGCTTATTGTACCGACATATACCCCCAGGTGACGCCAGAGTGAATGTGTTCCCCGGCCTGTCTCTTCTCCACACCCTCTTTTTGAGAGAACACAATCGTGTAGCAGGAGTATTGAAAACCATCCAACCTCTGTGGAATAACGAGACTCTCTTCCAGGAGGCAAGAAAAATAGTTATTGCTGAATTACAGGTAAGTGAGTACCATTACATAAATCCTTGAGGTACCACAGGGGCTGATCCAAGTACATGCGATTCCACAGATATAACAACAGGCAAATATTGGGTACAATAACCCGTCCGCAGCAAGTAGTGCCACTTTGTTATAAATATAAGGCCGTTAGAACCGAAAGTCATCAATGCAGCACAAAAGTCTCTCACTGCTGAGCTTGAGATAACCACCCAATGTGAATGACCCTTCCTTCCGTAAGGTAACTCCGACATGGCACTAGCTCAAGCGACCCTTCGATAATGCTTTGTCACATTTTGTTCCCAATATATCATCGTAGATGTACATGTATGAGCATAATTTGGTAAGCGAGGTCGTGCATTGAAGTATTCTCGACGTTTGAAGCTATCATAATTTAGAAACTATTTACCTATCCTTGTGTTTCCGTTTGTCCAATAGGTGATCACATACGACGAGTGGTTACCTGAAATACTTGGCAAGGACGGCATGTCAAATTACAACTTAAATCTTGGCAACTACAACTATAACGAAAGCCTAGATCCGTCTCTTAGCAACGTCTTCTCCACGGCCGCTTTCAGATTTGGGCACTCGATGGTACCAGAAAACTTTACCATAGGTTCCGAAGTCGTAGATACCGGAGACCTATTCAAGAGAACAAAATTCCTCATCAACAATCTCAATGACGTTGTCGGTAGTCTTCTGGAAGCTCCTGGAGAACGGGCCGATGCATGGTATGTGGATGGAATGAGAGACAGAATGTTCGAGGAGGATTCCGCTGCTAAAGATGGCCTTGATATCGTGTCGCTCAACATCCAGAGAGGAAGAGAACATGGTCTTCGATCTTACAACGAGTGGAGAGAATACTGTGGTTTAACCAAGATCAATTCCTTTACGAACGGGACGGACTTTGGAGCGATTCAAGCTCAGGATCTGGAAGATATATAGTAGGTGTAGTACCAGCATCTAGAAAATGTAAAGTAGGTACAGTACCATGTTTAGTGCTAGGATCTGGAAGATAGACAGTAGGTGTTGTACCAAGTCTATTACTGGGATCTAGAAGATATATAGTAGGTGTTGTACCAAGTATAGTTCTGGGATCTGGAAGACATATAGTAGGCGGTGTACCAAGTCTATTACTGGGATCTAGAAGATATATAGTAGGCATTGTACCAAGTCTATTACTGGGATCTAGAAGATATATAGTAGGTGTTGTACCAAGTTTAGTAGTATACACAATGGTCGAATAGTTTCTGAAATATTGACTTTTAAGAGAGCATGGGGTCGGTCGGGAAAAATCAAGGCCTTTGATTCACACACACACACAATGATGACAATTATTATACAGCGGGCGATCGAAAAGGGACTGTGTCCGTTTTCAAGTACAGGTCGTGGTAATCGCCCAAATTCTTGCAGCCAGTTGGTCCCACACATTAATCGCGTGCGCGTAATCGTCCGGGGTGATGGCCGAGTCGGTCAAGTTGCTGTAAAATTGGGTTATGGGAGGTAATCGCGTCTCGTCGAACTTGGACCAATCGTCCATGTACTCGTAGGGGTAGACGCCCTTCCTCAGAAGCAGGGGTCGAGTCTCGGCGTCTGTGTATTGATTGGTGATGTTGAAGTCATCCAGATTGTTGGCGTTTACCAGACTGTCTAGAGATGACAGCAGGAACTGAACGCTATCGATAAATCTCAGACCATCTAACAATAACAAGATGTATTTTTCCATGTTGTTGGGGATGCATGTTATGTTGCCGTTGACCTTCGCGGATGGCCTGCATGATCAAGTGGGAATCGCACCCGTGAAGGTTTTCTTGTAGTACGGTGGCAGGTCCAGGTACGACCCTCCTTTGAACGGCACGTAGTTCGCTATGTCCAGGTAGACCATGTCGATCGTGTCCCGAGCCCATGTGCGTGAAGCCTTCCAGGGATTCTCGTATTTTTGCAAATGAGGTGTCGATGGATGCGTCGATGCATTCGGGTTGAGTCGCGACTTCTTGCTTGCCTCTGAAGTAAGGCTGGATTTGATTGGTGGTGCCCTCTGTCTGCTGTTTTTCCAGTGACATTCCCACCGTGAGTTGAAATTTGAGGCTTCCAAGATCATTCAGTTCCTCGTTGACTTTGTTGGCGATCATGGGTTTGATGTCGTAGACGTCCATGTTTTTGTCGACGTCCATCCTCCAGCCGCTCAGATACTTACCTACTGAGTGCTTCGTCCGCACGAATTCCAGTTCCAATGGTTTGTGTTCCTCCAGCAGTTCGAGGAGCTCGGCTTTCCTCATGCACGGATTACCTCTGAGCCCATGTTCTTTCGCTCGGAGCTTGACGAACACGGAGAGGAAAACACCTTGTACGCCATGCGCTTACAAGATGTGACAACGTGTACAAATGACGAGAAGTCATCATCGAATCTCAGTTAAACTGGATTATTAACCTGGTCCTGACCTACCCCTATCTCATCACGGATGAGGATCGTAATGTTCTTGAACTAAAAAACAAAGGGGTTCTACTGGACAGTTTTATTCCGATCGAGGAAAATGGATTTTATGCAACACCATTACCAGATCAAATGGCTAACATGCTAGTCACCCATCTGCAATACGGAAAACAATGGATGTATTTAAAAAAATTCTCAAAGCCCCAGACTCGCGGGGACGTATGATACAGGGTTCTACCCTTATTTTCGAAGTTTTTCTTAGAGATGCCCCCGCACAAAAGGTGCAAATGCTGGATGCGTTATACATACCTGGTATAAACGCCATGGAAATCAACGTTGTCGTATTTACGCACAACCAGGAACAGTCCCCACCACAACCCTCGATAGAGTCAAGGTTATTCAGGATGGATACACCATTACATTCAAGGCCATTTTTTCATCCGAACATTTTCATTTTATTAGCTTTTTTTTAAATTGAGCCCTTGGGGGTACCTGGTCCCGTACCATCATTGCATATACTACTAGTTTAGTGTTATTATCTAGAAGATATATTATAGATGTTGTATAAGGTTTAGTACTAAGATCTAGACGATGTAAGCGTAGTGCATTTGGAAAGCGCTGTTTTAGCCTGTCTTCATGCATAAACAGTAATGACGTGACACCTATCATGTACCAACGTTCGTTTTTATTAGTTTTTTATGGTAACCTAAAGCGTTTACATTACTGAAAAGGTCCATTTATTCCTAAAATACATAGTTTGATTTCTGATGATGCAGATGTGTTCTTGGGTTCTGAACAAAAACATGTATTCCATCTTTCTGTTTCCAGTAAAAACGTGGATGACATTGATCTCTACAGTGGGGGCATTGCCGAGGTTCCCAGCCTACCAGCGGCTGTGGGAAAGACATACATGTGTTTGATTGGTGAACAGTTCAAGAAGCTCAGGGATGGCGACAGATTCTGGTTCGAATCGACAGACACACTCACAGGATTCACAAGTTGTAAGCGAATTTTGAGTAGATTTTAGACAACCGTTAGCTAACACACAAAAATATTGAGAAAAGGGGTCTGGCAGCTATCAGGATTCTATTTGTAAGGAAAAATTGTTTGCTGTCACCAAACTGACAAATCATGATGCTTGTCCCATAAAAATCCGGTTTACATAGCGTCTGCACGATCCTTGTATTCATCTGACTGCCACTGTATGCTGCATATACCACAAAGAGCCGGTTTACATAGCGTCTGCACGATCCTTGTATTCATCTGGCTGCCACTGTATGCTGCATATACCACAAAGAGCCGGTTTACATAGCGTCTGCACGATCCTTGTATTCATCTGACCGCCACTGTATGCTGCACAGACCACAAAGAGCCGGTTTACATAGCGTCTGCACGATCCTTGTATTCATCTGACTGCCACTGTATGTTGCATATACCACAGAGAGCCGCATTACATAGATCATGCATGACCCGTGTATGTAAACGTTTGGCAACTGACAAGTGCATTGTGTAACAACAGACCAGAGAAAAAGCATACATGAAATACATAGAATGTTGCAATGAAATATATCTGTTTGTCTAGGCGGTCGGGTAGCCAGTTTATTAAACCTTTGGCTGTCTCGAAACGCCTGCTTTGAGTCCCAGTTTTGGAACAGGGTGCAAAGCATACTTCCGATGCCCCTCGCATTCATATCCAATGATTCTGTTTCAGCTCAAATCGACCAACTGAAGAAGGCCTCGCTGTCCAGAATCATCTGTGACAATGCCGACAACATTCAGACCATCCAGCCCAGAGCGTTCGGTCTGCCACCAACTAATGCCACACAAGGGTAGGTCAATACTCCTTCTGTTACCCATAAGGCTATTCAGTCTCACGGTTTACAGAACAGCCGCCGTTTAAAGGAGTCTACTTGTAGGGTTGACAAGACGATTGATTTTTCTCAGTTTTTATTCTTAAAATGTCACAAAGGTGATATATAGAACATCCTTCTCGGAAAGCGGAACTGTGGAATGTCTTTACTTTGTGAATAAAAGAACATTCTGGACTTGCTGCAGACAATAAGTATTCGATCGGGACAATTAAACGGTAATATCTAGAAGCTCTTTGACTATTTTCGACAAGAAAGTTCCACAAGTTAACGTTTCCTCAGCTAGTTGTATCAGATTCTTCAGAATAATAGATACTTCTGGAATCGTGCTGCATCAAGCCAGCTTGAGGCACGTTTAACTCTTTAATTAGACGCGTGTCAGGCGAAGGGAACACTAGCTTAAGCTTATTGAATAAATGCCTTATGATTCCATGTATTCCACTGTATCAATGTAAAGGACCGGCAATGGATTGTCCTAATGATCGAGACGTGTGTGATTATGTACGTTTACAAAGGCTTAAGTGCCTGCACATATTCTGCATTTATCTTGGCGAAAGATGTGTGGTGAAATACCTGCAGTGAGGTTCAGAAGCCTGGAGGGCTTTCATCACGCTTCTTTGATTTTTATGTCGTATATAATGTCAGTCCCACATTTACCTTATATACCTAATTACAATCAACATGCTTCTTGATAGCAAATTGTTTTAGGTGAAAAGATCTGATATAAATATATCATTATTTATACACGCCTGTTATGTTTGACAGGAACACGGTTCGGCCTTGTGACCAGGTGAAGACAGTTAACATCAGGAGGTTCTGGAAATCCTAATTACAAGGAAATAAACTAAGAGTAACGTACTACAGCCTTGTCTGTTTGCATTTTTCGAAGCCACCATATTTTGTGACGGTTGTTAATGATAAGATAAAAGAGATGATGTTTTGCATCAAGTGTGTATGGTCAGCAGCGACAATGGATGTGGTGATTTTAGTAGCGCTTCACTGTATGTTTGTGATGTTCCAAGGGAGGTAACGACGCTCGTCTCTTCTGACGACCAGCCGACATGAAGCTCCCAGATCCATGAAACACACGCTGACAATATACACTATCAAGCATAGTGCTATACACCATGCTATACATGACTATTCTGTACACTATACACTAAACAATACATTATGCAGCACTATACTATACACTAAACTATGCATTATACAGCATTATACTATACATTATACAGCACTATACTATACACTAAACGATACATTATACAGCACTAGACTATACACTAAACTATACATTATACAGCACTATACTATACAGCACTATACTATACACTAAACTATACATTATACAGCACTATACTATACACTAAACTATACATTATACAGCAAACTATACACTAAACTATACATTATACAGCACTATACTATACATCGCTATAGTATACATTATACAGCACTATACTACAGCATACACACTATACATTATACAGCACTATACTATACATTATACAGCACTATATACACTATACATTATACAGCACTATACTATACACTAAACTATACATTATACAGCACTATACTATACATTATACAGCACTATACTATACATCGCTATAGTATACATTATACAGCACTATACTATATATCACTACTATACATTGTACAGCACTATACATTATACAGCACTATACTATACACTAAACTATACATTATACAGCACTATACAGCACTATACATTATACAGCTAAACTATACATTATACAGCACTATACATTATACAGCACTATAACTATACATTATACAGCACTATACTATACACTAAACTATACATTATACAGCACTATACTATATACTAAACTATACATTATACAGCACTATACTATACACTAAACTATACATTATACAGCACTATACTATATACTAAACTATACATTATACAGCACTATACTATACACTAGACTATACATTATACAGCACTATACTATATACTAAACTATACATTATACAGCACTATACTATACATTATACAGCACTATACTATACACACTAAACTATATACAGCACACTATACTATACAGCAATATACTATATACTAAACTATACATTATACAGCACTATACTATACACTAAACTATACATTATACAGCACTATACTATATATCACTACTATACATTGTACAGCACTATACTATACATTATACAGTACTATACTATATATACTAAACTATATACATTATACTATACACTAAACTATACATTATACAGTACACTATACTATACATTATATATCAGCTACTATATACAGATTATACAGCACTATACCATACACTAAACCATACATTATACAGCACTATACTATACACATCCATATACTATACATTATACAGCACTATACTATATACACTATACTATAAACTACTATACATTATACAGCACTATACATACACTAAACTATACATTATACATACATATACTATACAGCACTATACACTATACTATACACTATACATACATTATACAGCACTATACTACACATCCATATACTGTACACATTATACACTATACATTATACAGCACTATACTACACATATATACTGTACATTATACTATACTATACATTATACTATACACTATACAGCATCCATATACTGTACCCTATACTATACATTATACAGCACTATACTACACATCCATATACTGTACACTATACTATACATTATACAGCACTATACTATACATCCATATACTATACACTATACTATACATTATACAGCACTATACTACACATCCATATACTATATGAAAACCACTTACTGTTAAATGTCACAAAAACAAAGGAACTGATAATTGACTTTCGGAGTAAACCCACAGAACTGCTTCCAGTGATAATCAACGGTGAATGTGTTGAGACAGTGTCGGAGTATAAGTATCTGGGAACCTTCATTGACTCTAAGCTGAACTGGAACTCTAACACTGAAGCCCTATACAAAAAGTGTCAACAACGTCTTCAAAATTCATGCGTAAATTGAGATCTTTTAATATTAACCCATCTGTGATGTCATCTTTTTATGTTGCATTTATTCAGAGTATTTTAACATTTTCCTTCTATTGTTGGTACGGGTCTCTCTCAGTTCATCTCAAATCTAAAATAGACAAAATTGTTAACACTGCAAGTAAAATCGCTGGAGTCAGATTTGAATGTTTATCATCAATATATGAGCGGCAAATCGTGAATCAAGCTGTCAAAATCATATCTGACCGTATTCACTACTTAAATTCGGAATACAACCTTCTCCCTTCAGGCCGCCGATACAAAGTTCCAATTGTAAAACTAAGAGAGCCCGTACATCCTTTATTCCAAGTACCATATCTCTCTTAAACAAATGTGAAGATACCTAAATCAAAGAATTTATGTAAATATGTTTGGTATCTGTCTAATGTGTCAGTAGCTCTGCTGATGTAACACAAATTCCTGAAAAGGCATTAAAGTATTATTCTATTCTATTCTATTCTATACACTATATTATACATTATGCAGCACTATACTATACATCCATATACTGTACACTATACTATACATTATACAGCACTATACTACACATCCATATACTGTACACTATACTATACATTATACAGCACCACACTATACATCCATATACTATACACTTTACTATACATTCTACCTCGTCATAGTCGTGATGTCACTACGTAGTCACGTGAGAAGCGATAGCGAGGCTTGTCTTCAGTATGCGGTTAGCTTTCAGCAGGTCGGGGAGAACCGCAAAACGACCTATAATAGTTAGATGGAGCTATAGTAGTTCAAACGAGCTATATGCCTATAGGTCGATCGAGCTATAATAGCACATAAATGGAAGAGGCCCTTTAAGAACAACTTTCCGCACTGCGGTCATGGCATTGCTACACACGACTGGAATCGTCTTACCCATATTTGAAGCGACTTGCACCACAAACCCGAGCGTTTGTGATATATGAGCTGCTAAACTACCTAACCCTATGGACAGTTACACTTGGGAGACAATATAACACACCTGAAAACTGAAAATATACCCCAAAACTTGGAGTCCCACTTCGCGAACAGCTGAACTTGACGATTGCATGACTTCCGGTTTGGAAATAGTACTCGTTACACGTGTATTTTTTGTTTTCCACTACCGTTAGACGAATAAACAAAAACTATGCAAGCCTATGCAAGCCCAGTGTGGGACAATATTTATCCGTCGCGCGAATTCTGAATCTGTTGCGTATTGATCAATAAATAAGGTCTATCCTTGTTTTGTATCGCATCTGGATGTGTTGTCGTGAAATTGTTTGTGTATTTAGTCGTATGGTCATTGCAACTCTTCGGAAGTACTTGTCATTTGGTCACATTCACTCATTCCATGCAATATGTTATCACCATAATGTGTAATGCACTGACATACGGGTCAATTCTTGCATTTTACCCATTCCCAAGGAGGTAGTGTTCAACAAATTGAGTGCAAGAACGTCTCGGCAAGAAATTGTTCAGAAGTTGACAAGTACGACTTGTTTCAAACTATTTAGAACCTTATGACATGCTTCACTGCGGCATGGTATCTCAGTGGGCTAGCAATATAAAACCAGCTTAAATCTGGGCTAGTACAAGCAGCCGCACATACACATACATGCACGTCGTCATATGAGCGAAATATTCTCAAGCACGGCGTTAAACCCAATTTCACCTCACCTCACCTCACCTCACCTCACCTCACCTAATATTAGGTCTTTAGTTATCGTGGCTGTGCAGTCCCCACACACGTGGCCAGGTTCACTCGACAGTGAGCGCACGTGCTCAACATGGCGCATGACACAAGCGATGAAGAGTTGTTACTGAGTACATTTCCCCTGGAACCTGGGCCTTCTCAGCCTCATATTAACAAAGTGTCAACGCCTGATAATTCTGACAATACTCAGACATATGATATTGCAGCCAAGTTACACAAACTGTCTGATTTCATGAACAATATGAACGCAGCCTTCACGTCTCTTGCAAATAGGTCTAATGACTCAAAAGAACAAAGCGTAACTTCGAGTGACAGTGACGAGGCTGCTACCGGTAGAACCCGAGTTAATAAGGGGGAGTTTGAACATGGCATGTCTTGTGACGCCGAGGGTGACGAGACTGAGACAACTTTTCTAGCCATCACAAACAGGCCTAGCGGTCAGAATGACAGTGTCGTTACTGACACTCCACCCACTAAAGAGAACTTTGATGACCTTTTTTACACTGCCGAAATGGAATTAGAAGAGAGTCAAGCGGGCCCAAGTGTTGGGGAGAAACTCGCCAAATTTGTAAACAAACGGTTTGAGTCCCGCATGACGCTTGAAAAGTTGAAAGAGCGGATGGTCAAATTCAACATTCCTCAGAATTCAGACAAAGCCTAGCCAAGCCTAATGTTAATCCCCGGTTTGGAGTTCTTTTCAGTAAACAAGCCAGAAGATTGGACCCCCGACTGTCCCACATTCAGAAAACCATCATTGCCTCAGCTGTTGCAGTCACTGAATGCTTAGAAATATTATCCGAAGTTGCACCTGGAACTAACAGTGAAAGTACTGAAGCGGTGCCACGGTTGACTGACACAGTAGCCATGCTTGGACAAGCAAATTATGACATGTCCCTCAGAAGACGAGAAGTTCTTCGTCCTAATCTGAATGATCAGTACTGACAGTTATGTGGACCTAATGTTCCGGTAACTAACGACCTTCAAAAAGGGATGAAGGAGGCGATAGACTCCGGAAGGATGAAACAGTCGCTTTCACGGTCAAGGGGGAGGCTACTCTAGTTACCCAAACTATCGTCATCAGGGAAACCACGGCCAG